TTCTCCTATAGAGCACCGCAATTGTGGAACGACCTCCCACACAATTTAAAATCTTCCCTAAGCCTAAAGTCATTTAAGAGATCCCTCTCTACATACCTCAAAACAGAATGCACGTGTCATGGTTGATTATATATTTCCTGCCTGTTCTATGTTAAATTTTGTATATATTGTGTATTAATATTGTTTTTGTATTTTGTTGTACCTAATGTAACAATGCAATGATTTGTGGACCCAGGACATACTTGAAAACGAGAGAAATCTCAATGTATCTTTCCTGGTAAAATATTTTATTAATAAATAAATAGCATGCATTACAAAAACATGTAATTAACAAATTCCTTTATATTTCTTATTCCAGATTTACAATAGCCTCTTATTATATCCACAATTTCTGATGTTTGTAACAGTGGAACATGAAAAAGAAGCAGACTCAATTTGGGACCTAGAAAATGGAAGTTACCAGTATTGATGTGATTATTTATTTAATTCATTATATTAAGGTATGGGCCCACTTTATTTACAAACGGACTTATCTCAAAGAGCTTTTTAAAAAGTTTGTCTGAGATCGATCAGAGATGGCTCTGATAAATGATGTTCTTATTAATTTGTTTGGCTAGTTTGCTCATGTGTTTTTTGAGGAAGTTGATCAAAGATGAACTACTGCTCATGGTAACACCGACAAGTTTACCTTTATCTAAGACAAATGGTGACATCAGAGTTAAATGAGACTAAATAAATACACCTCTGCCTTGATTGGAGGAGGAGATGTAAGGACCACCAATAATAAGATAGGGGGATTTATATACTCTACACAATGCAGAACACTTATGTAACGGATCGCCTGGCACCCCGACTGGGTACCTCCGTTGAAGGATGCTCCTAGCGCTTCCTGAGGACTCCAAGCACTCTGGCAGACACCACAATCACCGAACCGGAGAAACAAATAAATTCTCCCAAGCATATGAATGCTGTAGAAAGTTGAATAGGAACAATACAAATAGGTTTACTCTCCTAGCAGTCAAACTGGAACAGCATACAATAAATCCTTCCCCCAATAATGAGACGACACTTCACTTTGAGGGTTAAAACAGGAACTCTTGTGCTGGCACACCCAGCCTGGTTTGTATTACAGCCTTTCACATACAGGACCGCCCACAGGGAGGTATAAAACAACCAATCACATATCAGTTACATCCCACATATTCCCTCCCCTTATCCTTAGAGGAGACTCAATTACACATACAGTTAAAACATACCCTCTACCCAACTTTCATAACTTTAAAACCATACATCACATTCACATAAAATTACATATTCACAATCAATCCATTCAGGGGAACAACATATTAAAAATGGCATGAATCCGACCATGGGTTCAAAAGTTAGTAAAAGTATCTTTTGGGCCCTGGCTGGCACATGGATATCTGGCTCAAACAGGTTTTACAGAGCCCTCTATCCTGGAGACAATGGGGAAAGTAATCCAATTATCCAGGGATAGAGGCAGACTCCATTGAGCACATGGTTGCAAAAAGACATAAAACACTTTAAAATACATAAAGTCACCTTTTACACATAACACACAGACATTTCACATATCCCCAGATAGCTGGGATCTGAGCGCACAAAACTACCGAAGAGGCTCAGATCCTATTCACACAGTTCAATTGCCATGGAGCCGAAGTCTTTAACTACACGAATGGGCTCCATGGTATAGCTATCTGGGTTAACACATTCACATAAAGTCTGGTCCACAGTCCAAAGGCAAGAGGCGGGCAAGCAGCCCCCTCCAAGGACACGTGGCAAGGCCGGTTTCGCCACATTTCTCCCCTTTACCATCCAGACTAACAGGGTATCTGACCTCCTGCCGGTCAGTGCCCTGGTTAGTCCAGCAACCCACCCACGAAGCACAAACAGCAATACAGCCCACCCACAATAACTGGTTACTACACCTGGATAAAATAGCAACTTGTCCATGTCCAGGTGCCTCACCACGGCTGTGCAGGGGGCTGGTAGACTGCCTTGGTGGGTTGCTGAGTGGGCAGAGACCAGCGGTACTCTGCCCGGGTGCCAGCGCTACCACTGAAGTAGCCTGGTTGGAGCCTGGTTGTGGGAGGGGGAGACCGACTGTCTCCCCTCTGGATACACTGCTCTGTGGCTGGGGGACAGGACCGACTGTCCCTACCCCTGGTGCTGCAAGTGCAGAGACTACGGTCCCATCTGCATAGTTGTGGGGCTTAACATCTCCCCTTGGTGGGTTAGGCTGCCGCTGGAGAGAGGGTGTAACAAGCTCCTCTCTCTGAACTGTAGACTGCCGCTGGGGAGAGGGGATAACCTGCTCCTCTCCCTGACACTCTCTTTGCTGGTGGAGAGGGGGACCAACTGTCTCCCCTTTCAATATTTTGTCCTGCGGCTGGGGTGAGACAGACGGTCTCTGCTTCCTGGGGTACACACTGCCGCTGGGGAGGAAGGACGGCACCTTCTGCTCCCTGGGGTACACACTGCCGCTGGAGAGGAAGGACGGCACCTTCAGCTCCCTGGGGTACACACAGCCGCTGGGGAGGAAGGACAACACCTTTGGCTCCTTGGGGTACACACTGCCGCTGGGGAGGAAGGTCGGCACCTTCTGCTCCCTGGGATACACACTGGCGCTGGGGAGGGAGGACGGCACCTTCTGCTCCCTGGGACACACACTGCCGCTGGGGAGGAAGGACAGCACCTTCTGTTTCCTGGGGTACACAGTGCCTCTGGGGAGGAAGGACGACACCTTCAGCTCCCTGGGATACACACTGCCGCTGGGGAGGAAGGACAGCACCTTCTGCTCCCTGGGGTACACACTGCCGCTGGGGAGGAAGGATGACACCTTCAGCTCCCTGGGATACATACTGCCGCTGGGGAGGAAGGACAACACCTTCCACTCCCTGGGACACACACTGCCGCTGGGGAGGAAGGACGACATCTTCAGCTCCCTGGGGTACACCTTTGAGTCCCCGTAACGCACTCTGCCACCGGATAGGGCGGCCGATACCTTTGGATGGATCTGCCATGAACTGCAGGTACTCTGTTGTTAATTTCCTCACGAACTGTACGTATTCCTCAGCGGGGTTGGGTCCAAAGAAAGCTAACCGCATGGCAACCTCTCTGTCAAACCGCACCGAGTGTAGCCAGGCGCCATGCTTGCTCTGCCACCGTTGGTTCCTTTGTAGATAGGGGCGCTGTACGGATACTAGCGTTGCCCTCACTTTGTAACTCCAAACGAACTGTGTCTCTGAGCTGCTTTACCTCGCACTAGGACGCCATCCCACCGCTTGCTACCAATGTAACGGATCGCCTGGCACCCCGACTGGGTACCTCCGTTGAAGGATGCTCCTAGCGCTTCCTGAGGACTCCAAGCACTCTGGCAGACACCACAATCACCGAACCGGAGAAACAAATAAATTCTCCCAAGCATATGAATGCTGTAGACAGTTGAATAGGAACCATACGAATAGGTTTACTCTTCTAGCAGTCAAACTGGAACAGCATACAATAAATCCTTCCCCCAATAATGAGACGACACTTTACTTTGAGGGTTAAAACAGGAACTCTTGTCCTGGCACACCCAGCCTGGTTTTTATTACAGCCTTTCACATACAGGACCGCCCACAGGGAGGTATAAAACAACCAATCACATATCAGTTACATCCCACATATTCCCTCCCCTTATCCTGAGAGGAAACTCAATTACACATACAGTTAAAACATACTTTCTACCCAACTTTCATAACTTTAAAACCATACATCACATTCACATAAAATTACATATTCACAATCAATCCATTCAGGGGAACAACATATTAAAAAAATGGCATGAATCCGACCAGGGGTTCAAAAGTTAGTAAAAGTATCTTTTGGGCCCTGGCTGGCACATGGCTATCTGGCTCAAACAGGTTTTACAGAGCCCTCTATCCTGGAGACAATGGGGGAAAGTAATCCAATTATCCAGGGATAGAGGCAGACTCCATTGAGCACATGGTTGCAAAAAGACATAAAACACTTTAAAATACATAAAGTCACCTTTTACACATAACACACAGACAGTTCACATATCCCCAGATAGCTGGGATCTGAGCGCACAAAACTACCGAAGAGCGCTCAGATCCTATTCACACAGTTCAATTGCCATGGAGCCGAAGTCTTTAACTACACGAATGGGCTCCATGGCATATCTGGGTTAACACATTCACATAAAGTCTGGTCCATAGTCCAAAGGCAAGAGGCGGGCAAGCAGCCCCCTCCAAGGACACATGGCGAGGCTGGTTTCGCCACAACTTATTCTCTTTTTTTTTTTTATTAATTGGATTGCTATTGTTTTAATTGTACTTCAACATAAATGATCCCTGAAGAAGTCATAACGAAAAAACACGTAGGGATTGGCAGATTGGGAGTCAGTTAGGATGGTGATGTTTTACTTGGCTAATTTACGTGCAATAAATAGCTATATTTATATATTTATTCTCCTATTCTTTTGTAGTTCCATGGGAAACAATGGATATTGATGGCTGTTCACTGATCCAGATCACTTGGAGTGTATGTTCTGTTATGGACATAATATTAGCTTTGCTAAAATGCCTATTTACTCCGCATAACTATAATCAGCATTATTCAATATTCTACTTAAAATGGCCACTAGAGGTTACCCCTCCCATCGACTAACCACCTCATGTAACAAGATGGCGCAGGAATCTGGAGGAGAGTTCCATGATAACAGTGACATCACACCCTGTAGGATGTACATTAGATGAACCACTTAACACCTAACCAATTATTGATGTATTTTCTCTGTTATCTATAATTATGCATATGATGTATTCTTGCTTTATAAGGGGCATGCCGGCCCCCTGAAATGAACGTTCCTCAAGTTTTTCATTAACCTGAAACTTGTGTCTGGTGTGAATTACTTTAGGAGCGTGCACGCATATATTTAATCATTTGGAAGGGACAGTTATTCAAATAATCAAACACTTGATTTGATCCACGACAGTTCCTTGTCCATTTTGAAATGTATTGTTTATCTTTAATACATTATATCATTGCAACATTATACTATTCAGTTTCTGTCCTTATAGGTTTGCTCTATTTCTGTATACTGATATTTATTTTGGAATATATCAAGAGTGGAAAGTCCTAGAAGAAGCAACACAATTTTTTGGTGTGATTGAGAGTTTGTAATCTGTTCAATACAACAAAAAAAAAACATGCGTAAAGATTAATTGATTAATGGCTAGTTTGCAAATGTTACAGTTCACATTCACCCATCCTTTGTTTAATACAATATATAGATAATGCATTAAAAAAAATGGAATGAAAAAAATAAATAAAGATAATTACATTTGCCGATCCTACATTTGCCTCTACTTCACAGACTGTTAAAGGGTTACTATAGTGCCAGGAATACAATGCTTTCCTATGAGGGAAAAATATGACACTGGATATCCTTATGCAGAGCGTTAGGATGTCCAGTGTCAGATACCAGACTAAAGGTCCGCTTCGATACAGGAAACGCCCCCAGTGGTAGTCTGGTAGACAGGAACTGCACTGTTTAACATTGCGGCACTAAGTGAAAAAGAGACACTGTAACAAGACCACTTCAATGAGCTGCCTGTAGTGTCCCTTTAAGTTTTTGCAGCAAGGTCTCACAAACCTGGAGATGACAATACTTATTTTATATAGTACTGTTTGCTGTTTCTATAAGTAGTGCTTTCTTGGCAAAAAAAAAAAAAATATATATATATATATATCAGTTTTCTATGGAAGTCATGACATTATATATAGCAGTTATTTTGGAGCATAAAGTGAAACAATACATACATGCAAATGAGGGGCAAAATACAAACTTTTGAAGCAAATCTAGCAGAAAACAGTAATGCTAATTAATAAAAAGAAGAAAAAGAGGAAGACGAAAAGGAAGAGCCCAGCCAGAATAACTTGTACTAGCATAAACTTATACTTTGCGGCAATAGAAGACAAGGTGCTTGGAGTGCCTCTTTAAGGGTCTAAATATAGACTTCAAGCATAGTACGAGAAAAAAAACCACTTCACCTCATTGTTAGGAAGGCAACAGTGTGCAGGAGCTTCTTATTTATCCCACTATACTACCTAACCTCCCACGTCAACCTCTAACCGCCCACTACAACTCTTACCCCCAACTTTAGTCTCTAACCCCTCACTACAGCTCCTAATCCCTCACTACTTCCCCTACTACTGCCTCTAGTGCCATACTAAACTTCCTAACACTCCAATACAGTTCCTTATTCCCATTACTGCCAATAACTCCCACTACTGCTTATAGCTCCCCACTACTACTAAGCCTCCAAATATTGCATATTGACCCCACCCTACACCCCTAACCCCCTACAGCTACTTACACCCACTATTATTCCTAACTCACTACTACTGCCTCTACTACTGCCGCTTTCCCTCATTACTGCGCTTATATATATATATATATATTCCATTGGAAATGGTGAGTACATTTCACAACTAGATATAAGAACAGGACCTGAAATGTTTGAGCCCTTCCTACATGTATCTGTGAATATGTCTGCATGTATAGCTGAATGTGTATCTGTGAATGTGTGCATGTGTGTGTGCATATATGTATGTCTCTGTGAGCTTGTATACATGTGTATCTGTGAGTATGTCTGAAATGTTTCTGAGTGTATGCATGTATTTGTGAGTGTTGGTGTATCCATGAATGTGTGTCTTAAATAAATATGGACATTTTTATTCTCCTGCTTTTATTGCATATTTATTTTAGACACCCTGAACCCACCTGCTTTTAATCTATGCTACACTGGACACCTATTTCCTTGGTGGAGAGAATACCACTTAAACTGTCTGGATTGAGCAAAACCCTATTTTGTTCCATGCTTGTACAGTTGCATTCAAAATTATTCAACCCCTATTGAAAATCAGGTTTATTGTCAAAATTTACAGACGTTCAGCTGTTTGCAATGAACAAATCAGAAATCAAGTGATTTCCCCAAATTCAAATGAAAATGCAATTTATAATGATTTCTCCAGTCTCAAACTTATTTAATCCCTTCATAGCAAGCATCTTTAGTACTTGGCAGAGCACTCTTTTGCTGTTATGATCTGCTACAAACGAGATGCATAGGCAGACACCAGCTTCTGGCAGCGTTCATGAGCAATGGCCACCGGTTCAGTAATATTCTTTAGTTTGCATGCTGCAACCGCCTTCTTCAAATATCTCACTATTTCAAATCTCAGATTTTCTAAGGGAATCAAGTCAGGTGACTGCCACTGTATAATTTTCCATTTAATTTTTCTGCATCCAAGTCTTTGTGAAATTTAAGGTATGGTTGGGATCATTGTTTTGTTGGAAGGTCCAATGATGCCCATTCCGCTGATCCATTGGGCCAAAATGTTTTGTTTCATCTCTCCACAGAGTAGAAGCCTCAAACTACTGTGGCTTATTTATATGATTTTGATTTATATTATTTAGACTGACTTTAGGGTTAGTAGTGGAGTTCTTTCACGGAAATTTTCTACCTTTAGTATGCGCCTTACTGTGTTTACTGAAACCTCATTACCTGTTGCCACTATGTCTTGCTGCATTTCTTCTGCAGTCATTCAAGGGTTTTTCACAACCTACCTTCTCAGAAATCTGGTTACAGCTAATGATGGCATTCTCTTTTTGCCCCGTCCAAGTAGTCTTACCAGCGTTCTTTCAACTTTGAACTTGCGAACTATGCTTCCAACGGTGTCACTAGGAATATTCAGTGCTTTGCTATCTTTTTGTATCCTGCTCCTTGTTTGTGAAGGGTAATGATATCTTTCTCTTAACTTTGTGGACCATTCTTTTTACTTATATATTTCTAACATGCAGTCAAATGTGACACTCAACAATTAATTTAGACGATTGCACTAACGGCAAAACCATATCCAAGAGAAATCCTTACTGCCAGCTCTCCCATCGTTTGAGAAGGGAACAAAATAAATTCTATGGTATCGGATAAATGTAAACAGCGATTAATATAGTAAAAAGTTACATATATATTCACAATCATCATTCAAAATCATTCCCAGTTGTGAGGAAATGGTTATTCATGGCTTTCATGGGTGTGTGATAGTGTGTGGAAGTTCCAGTCCTTGAAATTATTACCATTCACCTTTGGACATAGCAAGGGAAATGGCAGCAATGTCAGAATTATGGATGTATTCAAAAGATCTGTTTAAATGTGGTAAAGTTCTTTAAAGGGACACTGTAGGCAATGTATCTGCTTCATCTCATTAAACTGGTTATAGTGTCTGGAGTCCCCTGGTACCATCATTTCTTTCAGCATTAACCCGTTTTTAATGTTTTAATGCTAAACAAGAGTCCCTGGCAGTCCATCCCTTCTGTGCTGCTTTGGTTAATAACGAAGCATTAGCCTGAGCAGCAATGGGCAGCTTTGATTGGCTGAGAGTGTCAGCTGACTGATTTTAGCCTGTCAGAGCTCCAACTAACTATATTAATGGGTATGACAACAAGGAAGCATGTAATTTCTGCCTTAGCTACACATACAGAAGAGGACAGACTGTGGTTGGCCAGGGACTCTTATTTTGTGGCATACTGCACAAACGTGGTGCAACACTGAATGGATGGACAGTGCCAGGGCACTCCAGGCACTATAACCAATTCAAAGAGATGAAATGGTAATAGTGACTACAGGGTCCCTTTAAGCTTGCTGACATAAGATGGTTTTGCTTTTTCCTTTTTTGTTTAGGTAGCCATGCTTTATTTTTCTTACAAGCTGTATGAGGAATGTCAGGACAGCTTAACAAAAACTACTTGGCTCAGCAGGTTTGTATATCTCTATGTTCTTCCTCTGTGTAGGATGTGACTGCAGTGTGTGTGATTCATATGCATGTAATGTCACCATTGTTGTGTTCCCTCAGGTCCCTCTGAAACCTGTAGGTTGCATTTACTATGAGCATGTTTTTAAGGGAACTTGGTTTGTAAACTGGTGTCATTTGCTGAGTGGTGGTTGCATAATTATTCTGAGCAGGTAGACCCATGAGAAGTGAAAACAAAGTGACACTGATTTATTTAAAGTGAACCTCTGGAATTTACACTATGGACTGAAACATTGAAAATCATCTAGAACTCGTGTTAACCTTTTTTTTCATGAGACGCTCCATTTTCTTTTAAATTAAATTTTTAGTAAATTACATCACAGTCCAGTTCATTCCAGGCACAGACAGAGCATGCTTTGCAAATGAGAAGCTATAGAACCGTGATGTGGGCGTGGGACGGACGCAGGACGTAGCTGTGCGTCATGAGGAGGGGATTGTGATGGCGGTCTAAGGGCTGTGAGCGCTGTAAATGCTGTGAGACGCCGACACGCTGATGCACCGACAGATCGAAAACGCCGTTGGATACTTTTGGGATTTTTCAAGCCCTTTTAAGTCTCTTCAAGTTTCTTCCAAAAGGAATTTTATATCCCAGGCGGAATGTAAGCTGAATTACTAAAATCATCAAGCTTTTCTGGATAACTGCGATAGTGCATGGTAACAGCGTGCTACAATTATTCGCCGAAAAGACATTATTCTAAGTTTTTTTTTATTTCTGATGCTTGTTTGCACTCTATCTGCACCCTTCTGAAAATAATATATATACTATATATACTCACTGAGACCCTCACTGGAATCCTGTGTGGTCGGTTGGCCCGCGGGTCGAGGGGTGGGAGTGCTCGTTGGGGCATCTGATGGTTGGACGCACCGTGGAACGGCAACTCTCGGCGCTCAAGGTCCAAGGTTGAAACTCCATCTAGATGATAAGAGACTCCACTTAAAAGATAAGATAAGAAATGTCCTTTTTATTGTTTTCCTTCCTTTCTCACCTAATTATTGTCTCACAGTGTCTATAAAAACCAAGAGAATTGTGTTCACTTTATATATTAATTTACTCATATATTTGTATAGAGAAAGGGAAAAATAAAAAAAAAATTAAAAAAATATACAAAAAAATAAATAAATGAATAAATAAATAAATAAAAAGGAAAAAAAAAGGTGGAAATAAAAAGGAAACAAACGGAAGGAAAAGAAAAGAAAAGGAAGGAGGAAAAAAAAGAGACATTGTAAATAATAATTAAATAAAAAGGAAAGTGAGTGAAGACAAACCAGAAGGAGTGCAAAATACAAGGAAGCTGATGGCTCCTAAAAAAATAGTTCAAGTTCAAGAATCCAAATCTGCATCAAATCGAGATAAAGGAGAAGTACATCAAGAAAAAAACTTAGACATATTTT